GATGATCCGGATGGGGGTCCGGATGATCTGGGCTTCAGGGGTCCGGCTGATCTGGACGACCATCTCGATCATCCGGATGCGTCATGGCGGCTGCAGGGGGTCCGAATGTCCGGGTCGGTTTCCGGACGTCTGAGCTAGTCCAGATGATCTGACTTTGTCCGAAGGGCTGCTGCACTCTTGGTGCGCGGTAGCCGGATCATCTGGGGCCGGGGTCCGGATCATCCGGGGCTTGGTCCGGATCATCCTGGTCCCATTAGCTCGAATTTACTAATGTTAGAAAGGAAGACGAAGGTGCCAAAACAAAGCATTTGTTTCAAGCGTTGTCGTGTCCTTGAGCTTCAAAGTCTCTCTTCATCCAGGGACGGATTCAAGGAGGGACGAGGGGGGGCGAGACCCTCCCTGACGATAGCGTTTCCTGTTAATAGCGACTAGATTTTCCTTGATTTTGGCTAACTGCACGTAGTGTCTGTCTCGTTTCGCCCCCCCTGTGGCCCTGTCCCTCTTTCTATAATGCAACGTGAAGGCCCAGCCCATATACGTCAGACAAAAAAGTAGGCTATTGTAGAAGAGGAAGCCCATTGTAGAAGGCAATGGGGCCAGGTCTGGAACGCACGCACGCCTAGGTCAGATTGTGGCTACGTTGGTGGCAGCTATGGGATCGACGCCTGATCCCCGGTCGCCCGCAACCTCCTCTACTGCTATTGGGGAACCGTCTAAAGTAGTTCATGATCCATCGACATGGAGCTTCCAATCTTTAGTCCAGAATTGCTGAAGGGGAAATTAAGACCATGCACGGGCCGATCGGCCGGCCGGCCGCAGAGCCGGGCAACTAGGCATGGAAATATGGTTAGATTACTTTCTCTTCTTCTCAATTACTTAGTCGATGGCTGATGTTTTGAGATTAGATTAACTTGTGCCTTTAGAAGTAGAAACGAAGTAGGAGTACAAGATTTGATCTGTATAAACTACAAAAAAAATATATTAACCGTGAGACATGGTTTTGCATTGGTTATCCGTTCCTGTAGTTGAATGATTTAGTTACATCCGAATTGCTTTCAGAATTTGCTTTATGAAAACTTTTGATTGAAATTGAATTTATTCATATCTCGCGCCAATTTTCTTTGCTTGATTATTAGGATGGACATATGGTTCATCAAAATAGGCTATTGTCTCACTAAAATAAATAGGCTACTGTGTCTGTCCATGATCTTATTATAAGTTTACGCACTGAAGGCGAACTCTCGCCCCCCCTATGTTAAAATTCTGGCTCCGTCCCTGCCTCCATCTTCACGTTCTTTTTCCTCATTCGTTCGACCTTGCTCCTTGTGTCCATGGCTAGTTTCTTGGTACCTGAGTATGCAAAGTGTCTCCGGTTGAGGTAGTAACCATGTCTCGTGTGATTCGAAAGGCACTTCCGAGGAGAGATGTCACCTCGGACTCGAGAGCTCTTGCACTTGCATGTGTCATCGGTCCACTTAGCACTTGGGGAGACGAACGTAGGTCCATGGGGATGACTTTGGGATGCTCCGCATCAGGTATGGCTCTTAAATCTCGTGCTTCCTTTGCACTGCTTTTGGTGTAAACCGCCAAGACGTATATTTTACGATCCAGAAGCTATACATACATATAGCACTATGTAAGTTCAGCGAAGTCACATATCCGAGAAAGATAAACTCCGGGAGTTCATTCAAGGTGCAAACATGTAATTTGTATTGCAGTATTAATTGCTACTTTTTTATTAGCAACACATCAGATTTGGTTAGAGAACTGATCGTACTAAGTAAGTTGATTTCAGAGTTGCACATTAAGTCCGAGCTATCTTCTGCTGTAAATCATTTCTTATTTTTATTTTCTTACTTCTTTTCTCCTTACCGTGTACCACTCACTTTCAATTTTTTTTATAACACTACCATCCTGCTGCAACGCGTGGTGTATTGTATAGTTAAGTGAATGAGCCGGCCCTGCACGACACGTGCCTTGGCTTGCTCGCATGCTTTTTGGCCAATAACCTGGTAAAAGCAATCAGAAAAACAATGACCGTGTCGTGCCGGCAGCAAGCCTCACCCCGACTGACGAGCATGTCACATAGCGTGCCACGGGCTAGGCATGACCCGTTTAGTACAGTGTCAGGCACATGTGCGAACGTGCCGACCCACAAAATACGACCCATTTGGTCAGCTCTGTTTGAACCATAGTTTAAGGGCATCTCCAGCCACGCCCTCAGAAAGCTCTCCACGGTCACTTTTTCATCGTCAGTAGTGAAAAAAGTCTCCAGTCACGCTCCCAGGATCACATTTTTCGCCGGATTCGTCAAAGTTTAGCGCCGGCAGTCTCACCCCAAACCCAGCCCCCCGGGAAGCATCTGGGAGCGCCGGCAATGTGTTTATGCATGCGAAGGCCCACATGCAGCCTCTCTCCTCTCACTTTTCACCTGACACACCCACGAGCTCTCTCTCTCTCCTCGTCTTTTCTTCCACCAACCGCGCCGCTCGCCGTCTCTTGTCGCCGTGCTCGCCGCCGGGGCCGCCCTACGTGCCTGCTCGCGCGCACGTCCGGAGCCGCGGCAGCTCGTCCGCAGGCATGTGGCCGTGGCGTGGCCGGGCCGGAGCTCGCTGCGTGTGGCCATGGCGTGTGGGCGGGCGGGCGGGCGCGGCGCTGCCTGGGCGGACGGGCGCGGCTGTGGGCTCGGTCGTCCTCGCCCTCGTCGTCGGGAGAGCAACAAGGAGGAGGACGACCAGTGGACGCTCTTCATCGACCTGCCGGTGCTGGAGGCCGCCACCGCCGGCTTCGGCCCCGTCTATAAGGCAAGCGACCAGCAACCTCCTCCTCCTCCTTGTTGCTCACGCCGTCGTCCTCGCGCGGTGCCTCGCCGACGCCGTCGTCGGGAAGGAGCGGGAGACAGTGGAGGACGCCATGATGAGGTAGGGCGCAGCCGTGGCCTGGACGGCGCGGCGCGGGCGGGTCATCGTCCCGTCCGCTGACCAGCTCGCAGACCGGCTCCACCGGCCGCAGCATGGCACGCGATGCCGCCCGTGCCCGCTGAATACGCGGCCGCCGCCGGGTTCAGCTGCGCCGTGCTCGGTGGCTGCCACCTGCACCTGCTCGGAGGCACCAACATGCGGCCGGTGGTGTTCTACAGCTTCGGCGTGCCGGACATGCTGCGCCGGCGCCACTGATTCGGCGTGTATGTCGCTGGCGGAGAGGGCGGCGGGGGCGGCCTCAAGTCCACGGAGGTCACCGGATGGAGAAGCCCCAGCGCTTGCATCGACGGCTGGCTCTACGCCGCTGCCTCCCGCACGCGCCGCTTGCACGTAGGCGAGGGCGGCCATGTTCAAGCTTGCTCTTGCTGCACTGCTCGCTCTCGGAGCAGGAGGACTACCTCAACTCCGCCGACCAGGCGTTCCTCCTTCCCTGCCAGCTCGAGGGACAGGGCACGGGGCGAGGGAGCGGGGCATGGGGCGGCTCGACGTCGGCCTCCGGCTGCAGGATGTCTCCTCGAGGTTTTCATCGCCTCCTTCCCCGTCGACGCTCACGCTCCTCCGCTGGGCTCGCGCCGAGGAGGTCGTCAACGCCGCCGCGGGCAAGATGCTCGACGAAATGACGCTTCGATTTTGGGAGTCCAACACTGCTCGTGGGGAGGCAACGAGTGGAAGTGGTTTGGCCCCCAAGGCCTAAGTTCTCGCTGGCCCCTCAGGAGGCGAAAAAAGGTGCCTCCTGGGGGGCAAACGGCTGGAGATGCTCTAACAAACCAAACCGGTCTGGCTGGCGGTTGAAGTTTTTACTAGCCAGACCACCGGTTCTTCGATTCATTTGCGACAAAAAACTGTAATATTTAAGGTGAATTTTCAAATATGTGATGTTAGATCAAATGAATACACCTAATATTGAATATAAATCATTAATAAATCATAAAGTGTAATTTCTTTCTCTCTCTCAACAGGCTTTCGTGCCGCTTTACATATAAAGCAACAACATAAGAAGTACACGACATACGATACAAGATTGTGATGTAGTCTTCTTACAAAGTCGATCCCAAGATAATCGGTACACACAAAACACACGCGGCTACGCAACCAAGAGGTAATATAGGAAGACATGAACACACCACTACTCTACAACCTAATACACCTATGCTCCACGGCAACACCCTCAAGAGGGAGAACGGCGCAGATAACGTCGCTGTTGTTGAGTCTGCAACAGTCAAAGGTCTTCACATGGAGCCATGACACAAAGAGTAGAACCACGACGACGCCTTCAGGACAAGCATGTCACCCACGGGCGCCGCCGTTGTTGACACCAAGATGCAAAACTTTCTTTTGACAACTCACCCGTGCCACCACGAGGCCGCCATGATGAGCGCGACGAGGTCAGATCCCTAGATCCAGACGTCACCCCTATGAGAGGGGAAGCACGCCCGAGCCACCCACCGTTAGTTGTTTATTGGGCCTTTAGCATGGCTTGCCTCAACGGTAGGTGTCATATCCCTTGTGATACACCTTTTCTCAAACATTTTTGTGATTTCTTTACTAAAAAGCTGGGAAACCTTAAAAAATAGTGCATCCTGCCGGTTCTTAGTTTTTCATGTCGCACCTCCGGTCCAGTTCGATTTTTACAACTTTGTTTCGAGCGTGGACACACAGCTCAACTGTGGACTACTCAATCCAATCCTGG